TCTAAATAGAAGATTAGGCAAAGGCCCGTCCCGTCTCAAACTAAAGAAAATCATCATTTTTTCATATGAGATTTGGCAATAGGGGTGAATTTAACTCATAATTTAGAATATGGATGAAAATGGGTTATGGTTGCAATTCCAAGATTTGTCCCGGATCCGAGAATTCCAGGTTCTGGTTCCCAAACTCTCATTTAATGTAATTAACACGTGTTCTATGTTTGTGTTCACAAGCAAAAAAGCAGTTTACCTTTGTATAGTTCGAGTCAGCCCAATTCAAGGTAGCCCATATTATATTTATAACAAACCATAGAGGAAATAACATTTCAAAGATTGATGAAAAATGTTTCTTAATATTTTTTTTGGGGGTGCTCTGTTAATCCAAAAATTTTTCACCTATTTATTCGATACTTTTAGATATTGCTATAATGTCGATCCAATAACTGATGCCAATCTGATATCTATATTTTTTTAAACGAATGTCATTACAAAAATTTAATATTTTCTTATTCAAAAAATAACCAACTTTACTTTCTCCAAATGATTTGAGCGTATTTTTTATTTAAGTTCTCCAAAAGTTAATCAAAAATATGGGCAATATGCATGGCTGAATGTAGTGTTATTAAAAAGGCTCTATTTCGCCAATTTTCAAAAAAGATTAAATCAAGAATTTCGAAATATTATCATCTACGACTCGAAATTTCGTTGATAAATGTTTAAACCTTTCAGTCATCTGTGGGCCAAATCTTCAAGCTTGAGGTTAACCGAATTTTAAAAATCGACGAAATTGAGCCTATTAACAACATTAACTGAAGGTGATTGGCTAGATATGTTTAAATCTTTTTCTTGAATATCAAATTACTCCAATTTTTAAAATAATCTGATTTTTTTATTACAAATAAATTAAATTTTGGTTCCTTTTATTATTATTTATTAAACTATTGTATAAAAATAAAAAATATTATATAATCATATATAAAAACATAAAATAACCAACCAACCAATAAAAGATATCAATCGGGCCTATTTTTTATATCTATTATTGGCACCGTATTATTAATTTTTTTTATGTCGTAACTTTAAAATTTAAAATATAAACTACTGAATTATAAATACAGTAGTTCTAATCAACTTCTTTATGTCATATTTACTAACAGCGTAGCACACATCAACCGAACACTCACATACAAACGTTATTTGAATAGGTGGAGAGTCATTTAATTAACAATTTTGTCTATACCACATTTTTAATTCATTTTGTAGAGTAATTTTAATAATTAGATAGCTTTTAAACTGGTTAATTTACCTTAGGGTACTTCTTTTTTTTTAACTACACCATTTTCCTCCATTAAGGCATAGATTCATCCTCAATTTATACAAAATTTTGCATAGCTTAGTTAAGAACACATGTATTGATATAATTATAAAATATCAAAATTAAAAAATAATACCACTGCAGTGGACGGAGTATCACAAGTAGGCAAGATAAAATATCCTATAGATAAATTGTATAACTTCATCGATAAAATATTCAGCCTTTCAAGCTTAAATACGGTGGAATAAGCCAATTCGATCCAGTGGTAATTAGAGGTATCACTACAAAAGAAATTCCCCGGATCCCGTTCATATATCTGATATAATCCTCCAATCATTATGTCACCTTTTTTGTACAAATATTCTGAAGGAAACTTGAACAGTCTTTCTTCCTTGTGTTCACTCACCTTAGCTAAGATCATCAGAACGGGATAAATGTAAAATATATTGGGCATTATGCACTATAGAACGTGTATTAATTACTATAAATATAACTATGTTAAACGAATCAAACGCAATTATAAAATATTCGTTGTAATATTGGATTAAATAAAATGTTTTGTTTGTAATTAGTATCTTTTGATAAAATAAAATTTATATTAAATTTTCATTAAAATTAAATTAATTTTTTTAATTAAATAGAATATTTTTCATAATTAAATTTTCCTAATTTGAATTTCTTAATCATTTAATCAATTTACGCAAATTATATAAACTCATTAGATTAAATTTTTAATATAGTACATTACTCTCCCCATTTATATTTTTGTGATTTACATTTATAGAATGTAATTAATTTATAAATTTTCTATAAATTATACATATTTATCTTATTTCGACTAGGCCCTCAACACTTGGCAATTCCAGTACCCTGTCATCTAAAAGTGAGTAATAAAAAAAAGAGTTATCTCCTATTAAGAATTTAATTTTTGAACATTTTTCTGTGAAGATTAATTCAGATTTTTCTTTAGAATTTTATGTATTTCATTTATTAAGGTTGCAAAATAAAATTTAAACTGATTCAGAAAGCTTAAAACCGTTTTTTTTATAATATTAATTTTCAGACTTTTTGTATAGGTGTAAGCGAAAGGGACATCCATTAGAAATTAGCCTGTTTTCGTGAATATCATTTTAATTCTTCTTCTCCACTCTCAATTAGTGATGTTAAGAGTTTCGATTTTTAAAAAAAGGCTAGCCTTTAGCAAGAAGATATTATGCAAGTCTATAGATTTTGCTCATAGATGGCACAAAGGTTTGGACATCTATTAACGAAATCTCAAGGATTGCGCAGTATTTTTTGGGGGTCAGCCATTTTAAAAAATTTAGCCGTTTAACAAAACTACTCAAAATGTATAAAATATGTTATATCACTAAATTAAAACAGTAATTTTAAAGAAAAACAAGTAAACGTTAATAAATTTTTTTTTAAATAACTGCTATCTATAAATAAAAATTTTTTAAAAAAAAGTAATCTAACCCAAGGCCTGCAATAAATGAACTCTCCGCCATTAAAATTTATATAGTATTGTTATATCACCTAACTTTGGCTAACTCCATTATGGATTACTCTAGTTTTTATCCTAACAAGATTGTCACGATCTTCAAGTTAACAGGCTTAACTTAAATGTTTAAATAAATTTTCCGTATTGGAGTTGACCAAAAGTTGTTGAATTTAACAATACTACATTTATAGGAAAATCCCCACCTAATAACACCCACCTTCCCTACCTAAACATTAGCAAAATCTTGGGTACGCCTATATAACCATATTTTGATATAGTTAAGTGTGATCGTCAGATATTAAAAGAAATGATTGATAACTTAATTTGTATTTTATGAATGACAAAAGTTATTCGATTCAAAAATCTTTTAATGCGAATTAGGATAATAGAGAAGAGCGGAGATAGGTAGCCATTTTTTCCCCTCTCATATATAAGATTTAAAATTGATTTTAATGAATAAATTTAATATGAATGTGTAGCCCAAATACTAATCCACAAAGAAAATTCCTATTTAGTTAAACATCATTTTAAATAAGTCATTTCTTTTTCTAGATAATGTACCCGGTGTTGACTGGTCATATTTTTTATTTTAACAATTTAACATTACTATGAACTATGAAGATAAATAATATATTCTGGCATATCCAAACCAACTCTAAACTAAACTGTTATTTTTATCTGAGTCCTAATCGATATGTGTTTCAGTTTAGATCATAGCCTAATTTAATCATGTTTACTATTTATATTAAACGCCCTAAAATTATTTAAAGAAGGTTTAAAAAAGGAGAGGTCAGAGAATTCACAATGATTTCTGAATGAGAATATTCCAATTGTAAATTTAATATTTGCCATTTTACCCTATGTGGCTTGTCAATTTACCCTGGATATTTGGTATATCGTCACCTGAGAATTAGTTATTTCATATTCATTTTTCTTGTCAAGAACGAATTTCTTACCAAAATAAATTTTTTATAATTATAAAATTCTAATTAAACAAAAAAAATCAGTAATGTAAACAATAGAACCAATTATTAAAATTACTCTCCTGTAAAATTACTAAAGGTTGGAATAATATAATAGCAAAAAATTAGTATTTTATTAAACCATTTTATAAATAGTCAACAGAAAGGTATGGAGCTCAGGTTTCTAACAAAATGCTATAAATAATATAGGTAGGGAAACGACTAAATTTAGCCAACAAATCGTAAAAAATTGATAGACATAGTCATTTTTAATAGCTCTAGCTAATAATATTTTTAATAGCTTTTAAAATCATTATAGAATGTCATCTCTACCATAAAGCTATCAACATCATACAACAAGCTTTCAACAAGGGTGACATACCGTCTCCACCCTCGAACCAGGTGGTCTCCTTAATGATAGTATAAAAAATTCAGATGGTATTATGAAATATATTTGTTCGTCAAAACGCAATTTCAAGTCCATTGTAACCTTGGAAATCTTTAGAAAAGGACTTTCCAATTGATTAAAAGCGTAGAGGAAAAAAAAACTTTAGACACTGGAGATCTAAATGAGGGGTTTAATTTGCAATGGATCTCTTAAGAGATCTAATCATCCACTCCACCTAAATAACCATAAACAGGTCTCTGAAAAATATATTCCTGTTCAATCTTTTTCATATTTTCTTTTAATGTTTTTGATTGTCGTTAAGGAACGGCTCTCAGATTGATTAAGCAAGCTTAAAGTGCAATTGGCAGGCTTTTGACACCTAAAAATGTAGATAATCGGTGGGCGAGTTTTAAATATTTTAGTGGTGAGATGGGCAGAGCAGAGCATACTAATTACTCATTAAAAATAAAATTATTTATAAATATTTTTAAATTATTGGTTAGAAATTTTCTAATTACCTATTGGTTCAAAATAATTTTAGGTATACTATTTATGTTCAAAGAAAATTGAATCTTAAAATTATATGCTTTTATTGTTATTATGTTAAAAAGATCTTTTATTATTTTACGATAAATGTATAGTCATTTTATGACTAATGTATAGTTAAATTAGAGGGGGGGGGGGGGTGATCTCTAAAGTAGTATTGTTGTATTATAATAAAGGCTCAGATAAAAAAATTAAAACTCACTCATTGTTTAATTTTATGTCATATATTTTAATTTTAACATATACTATTAAGTATTTAAGTTGGCAATTTTATATTAAATAAAACATGAAAACAGGTTGGATATTTTTATTTATAATTTCTATATGTATCTATCACATGAATTTATTGAAATTTATGTAATATTTCATACCTTAATAAAATTCAAAATACAATAAATATTTTATTATGATGGATAAATTAATGTAAACAGTCTTCATTTAAATATTCTGATATGAACATCTTGTACAAGCCAATTTAAGCCTTCAATTAAATTTTGTCCAGTGATGCTACTACATGGCAAGATAAGGTAATGATGTGTTTTGATTTTATCCAATTCTAAAATCTTAATTTATAAATAATTAATATAATTATCTACAAATCTTTGGTAATTGATATATAAAAACTTACCTGTTGAATTTCTTCCACAGGCAGGGAAGAGGATAAATCTTGTTTGTTTGCAAAAATAAGTAAGGAAGCCCCTTGCAATCTCTTATTTAATTTAACAATAAGATACTATATTTACTAAAAATTTACTTCTTCCAATAAAAGTTTATGAAGTTCTGATTTACAATCATTAAATCTTCTAATATCAGAACTATCAATAACCCATATTAAACCATCAGTACTCTCAAAATAATTTTGCCAATATGCCCTTAAGGTTTTTTGACCACCAACATCCCAGATATTAAGTGTATATCTAAAATAATTTAGAAAAATATAACTGATTTTTTACTCTTTGTATAAGAGGGTTCTAATATTAAAACCAAAAGTTGGAGATATGGTATTAATATCTTCATCAAAGAATTTTTTAACTATCGTAGTTTTGCCGGCATTATCTAAACCTCTTATTAAATTATAAAATGGTTTAATTAAATATAATCTAACAGCATTAAAATACGAATTTCCTTTTCCTTCTGCTTGATTTTCTTAATTATTGTATATAAACCCATATGATATGAGATGAATGTACCGTTTATTTTTACCTTACTTTGAAGAAAAATGACGGCGAAATATCAGCTGATCGATCCAGAGATTTTCATTATTTTATTTATTCATAATAGATCTAAACATATTCCAATTAAACTATAATATAATATTATAAAAAAAGATTCTAAAAAATGGAGGTGGGACTACAAGCTCCAAAAAACATAATTATTTTAAAAATTATTTATAAAAGAAAATATGATTGACATCTGTCAGACTATAAGTGCAACTTTTGTTTATTAATTATTTTAGTATATCATTAAAAAAACTTTCATTGGATCTGATATTTATATCTAATGTCATGTGATATATCTTTTGGAAATTAAATTAAATAGAGAATTGTTTATAATAAAAGGGATCATGGGAAAATAAAGAAATTAATAGCGATTATTAATAAAAAGTTACAGATAATTTATTTATCAGTCTTTATTAAAATTAAAATAATGAAAAATATTATCGTTTAAAAATTAATGAAAATTGAAAAAGAAAATTTCAAAAATGTAAATTTAAAATAAAGAGCGTGTAATGTATTTAAATAAATTGATTTTTATATTTGTCTCAGGGGACCCCAATGAAGGATTTTACCTTCGCCAGCAGATTTCCCTGGAAATTTTCCGGTCTAATTTTTTAAGTATTCACTCTTCTCTTGGATGATATATAGCCCCCCCCCCCTTTTTTAAATATATATATTTTTTTTTATAGTCCTTTTTAATGTCTTCATAGATTATATATATATTATATATTTATTTTTTTTATATTTAATTTTTAATATATGAATTTTATTTTAATATATATTTTTTAATCCTCTGTAATTTAATGATTATGAATAAATAATAAAACATTAAAAAAAAAAATTTATAAAAATAGAAAAACATATATATTCTGATCATATTTAATTAATAGTTCTCAATAAATTATTTTGATACATTTCAAAGCGAATAGGCAATTATGATGTATATGATTTTAGGAACATTTGCTTTTTATTTAATGATTTCGTATATTAGTTCTGATATAAGATTATGATTAGAGATGGCATAGAGTATGCCAGCGTCTACATGACAGGATTTTCACTGGATGCAAACCCCCTTCAAAAACCTTTGCCTACCCCCCTAAAAAATTAGCGCCTTCTTCGGCGGCGGTGTATCTTTATTGTTATTTTCACCTATTTATTTATTGATACTCTTTTCAAAGAATTTATAAAGAATAACTTACATTAATCTATCTCTACTACCAACTATAGATATTTTGTGAATATAAAGAATTTATTTTTTAGAGAATAAATTCAAATAAAACATACATTATTTACAATGAATTAATTATAATGGCATTATGAGCTTGCTGAAATATTTAAACCTTTTAAATTACATTTAAAAGGATAGTTTATTTGGAAAACAATGTGTATGATTGTTTTCAATATATAGATTTGGTCAATGAATTATATAATTAATTTTTACAGAAATAAATTTTGTCTTATTTCATCTCAAAATTTAATAGATAACCCACCAAAAAATTTATCCTACCCCCATTAAAGCAGCTTACCCACTACCTCCTCAAAAAATAGGATGCAAACTGTTCCTACCCATCCAGCTCATGTAGACGCTTGAATATCCCCAGGTGGAGTAATTAAATCATAACAAGATAAAGAACCAAAATTGTGTTGGAACATAAAGATTAGATGAAATGAAAAGCAAAGCAGAGAGGATAGGATATAAAGAAGTTTGTGTTATAGTTACTTAAAGCTGATAATTCATGACATTAACAGTTAACACATAATTTGTGGTAAACTTGTAAACTAACTGAATCTAAAAAAATCTAACTGAGACTATGAAATGTTTTCGATTTAGAATTATTATAAGCTATTAAGTCATAAATCACTAGAGACAACTGCGGAAAATCAAAAGAAAAAGAACATTATTTTGGAAATTATGCAGATAATAGCGCGAAAAAAAATAAAAAAATACTATAATTGAAAATATTTTGAGACTCTGAAGCGCATACAATTAATTTGGTTTATAACTTAAAATAATTGTGGAATAAGATTAGAAATTAGGACGAATATACAATTATTGGTAGAACAGATGTTGATGGTTTATAACTTAAAATAATCGTGGAATAAGATTAGAAATTAGGACGAATATACAATTATTGGTAGAACAGATGTTGAATATGTTACCATTTATTTTAATGGCTGCGAGAGAAAAAACACCTCAACGATATGATATAAGCGATTTTTGATAATTGGTAGAACAGATGTTGAATACATTTACCATTTATTTTAATGGCTGGGAGAGAAAAACAGCCTCAATGATCTGGTATTGGCGATTTTTGATAAAAGATTAAGATTAGAGTTGTGTATTAGATACGCCAGTTGATAATATTTAAATTGATTAACAAAAATTTTCATAGAGAGATTAGAGATTGGAATTTTATTTTGGATCATTTTATTAAAATTTGAGATCAATTATACAACATTAAACTAATGACAGGAGAAAGATAAAAAATTCAAAAAAAAATTTCTAAAGATTTGATAAAGATAATTTAATTTTGTTTTAATGAAATTTTAGATATAAAAAAGGAAAAACTAAAAGAATCAATTACCATAGATTTTGTAGATAAAATTTTTTTGCCGCCGAAAATGAGATCTAAAGATTAAGAGAAAAAATATGAAAAGATTATTTTTTTAAGGAAACAAAAATAGAGTATATTAATCGTTTTGAATAAATCAAGAGCCTTGAAAGAAGATTCAAGAGAAAAGTCAGTTACTAAAGAGTTGGTAGAATAAATCAAGCCAAGAAATAGTTTCATTTTTGATTGATGCTGATATTGAGATAATAAAGGTTACTGAAGAGAAAAGGAAAAGATTGGTTTCGAGTTTTAATCAATGTAATATGATTTACAAGTGTTTAAAATTTGTTTAAAAAAATATAAGAATTGAAAAAGTTTCGAAAAGATTTTGATATTTAAAAAAAGTGATAAAGAATTGTGAATATAAATTTTGGGTTATATTGAAAACGAATACAAAGATTGTAAAAAAGACAATAATGTGGTTTTTTTGAGAAACGAAAATATAGATTTTAAAAATAATTAAAATGTTTTTTTTTGTGAAACAAATATAGTGTTTATGACAATAAATTTTGGTTTTCTTGAAAAACAAATGTTAGGATTGTATAAAGACAATAATATGGTTATGTAAGCTATGATAGTAAAAGCAATAATATTTGAGGTTTTCTTGGAAAATCTCGCATATCCAAAATTTCATAAAGTATAATAAAATAAATGCATGATAGCCCCAAAGAAGGTATTTTTAAGTATAAATTATAAATAAAAGATTTTTAGGTATAAATATAACATTATACATAGTTAACAAAAAATAATAATAACCAATAGCTAAAGGATGATTACAGGCAAATGCTTCAATGAAGATAGAGGTCTAAGCTATATTTACGGTAAAGGGATCCAAATTTGACATAATTATAGAAGTTATTTTGAGTATATTTGGGTATTATAAATTTAGGGATAAAATAGTTTATAGATTATGAGAGAAGTTAGGTGGTTTAATATATTATTTCTGGTAGAAATTGGTGAAATGACATTAGACATTAAGAGAAAAGACTAGGATCCATTGTTATGATAAAGAAACAATGGAATAGATATAAGCAGATGGTCGTTAGAAATTATCATTAGAAATAACATATGATTTAAAGGGTATAGAAGTAGTTTGTAACTAAAGTAATCGTGAATCGCTTACTAACAATTGCCAATCGTTTACAGGGATAATGTTATAATCATTAAAAAGAGATCGTTAGATACAAGCAAAAGAGACTGGGATAAATAGTGAAGAATTTCAAAGTGGTAGTAGAAAAACAATCCCTGGAAAAGAGACCAATCGATAATCGTAACACAGTCGTTAGAATCTACGAATGCTTGAAAAAGGATATCGTCGTCAGAATTTACAAGGCCCGAATGAGTAACATTTGGGGTAATCAAAACAAGCCATCGGATGATTAACGAAAGTAGACAATGATTAAAGGATAAAAACGAACATCTAAGCACAGGAGCCCAAATTAAAAAGAATTTTTTGAGTGAATAAATGGTTTGAACTAATTTAAATGTTGAATATTTTTTTTATAAATTAAAAAGAAATTTTTGAGTGAATAAATGGTATGGGCTAATTTAAGTGGATAATTGAATATTTTTTTATAAATTTAATTTACATATTTGTGTTATTATAAGTTATATACAAATTTATGTAAATTGTTATCGAAAGACTGCCAGGAGATTTATATATTTTTTTTATATGGCCATTTCCAGACAGAACGTCTTTTCAAGGTGGTTTTTGGGCAATGTTACCAGCAATTTTATTTTATTTCCAAAAACAAATGTTAAATTCTAGTATTATTTTTTTTTTTAAATAATATAATATTTTAAAAAAATATCAATCCGGAGCCATATTTCAAAACACCATTTAATCGTTATTAAAATAAAACCAGTTTGTTTTCTATTTACGATTAAAAAAATGGGGATCTAGATTGTTATTTTTAATAAATATTATATTTAAAAAAATTAATTCCAGAAGTTAACATTTTTTTTGGAAATAAAAAATTGATTGCTGGTAAGATTACCCAAAAACCTCTTTGGAAAAAACGTTGTTAGGAAATGGCCTATAAATGCTATATTCAGATTATATTAAACGCTAAATAATTTTAAGGATTTTTTACTTTTTACATTTTTTTAGTTGTTCACTTTTTAATTTTTCTTTTTAAATTCGATATATTTTTATTTATATTTTAAAAAAAATCTTTTATTATTTATCAATATATATTATTTTATTCAATCATATGTTAAAATATAAGGATATAATATTTATAAATTAGATTTAAACTTAATATAAATATACTTAATAAATTAATAATTATAAATTTTTTAAAAAAATTTTATGTATCAGAAATCGCTAATATAGAAAACAAAAAAATAAGTACATATCTTAATTAGGGAAGATAAAAAGAAAAAAAAGAGATGATTATAAACAATGAAAGAAAGGGGAAAGATTTAGATCATTCTGGCTGCTCAGGAAATAAACTCAGAAAACATGTAAAATTAAATTTTATCATCTGAAAATGTTTTTTTGGATAAAATATTAAATTAGCCTATTAAAAAATCGGCTCAAATCCAACCGTTTAACAGCATGTTAGTTTAATATTGACGAGTCTCAATTCATATCTGTAACTTTTCCTTCAAATTTTTTTTTGGCCTTTATATAATTTTTTAAAACTTGCTTTAAATACTTTACATGTTTTATTTATATTTAATATATGTATTTTTATTTTATTTTTAACCTATTTTTTCAAATATATAAAGTTATAGAAATAGTTTATAAAATATATATTTTAAACCCTAAATAAGCCTCCATATGATATAAATTTTTCAGCAATTATAAGGGGTTCTCCTTTGGATTATTGTAAAATAATAGGTATGGTTTGTATTAAAATTCCAATTTTGGTTATATTTTTATTTCCAAAATATAAAAAAAATAAATATCTACAAATGTAAATATAAAAATTAATATATTATAAAACCCCTTTAAATCAGATATAATATGATATTTGTTTGAATAATATTGAAAAAATATAATCTCTTAAAAATATTAAAGTAATAACATTTTATAAATAGTAAAAATAACCTTATCTCCAAATATGTTTCCATAGACTTATGATACCCCCCCCCCCCCCAATAAAAATAATATAACCACACCCAAATAATCTGTTATCCTTCCATCACCTGAACTAGATACGGACCTCAAGATCTAAAGTTTACAAAATATTAGACAAATTAAATATAGCAATAAATATTTTAAAAATTTATTCGATATCCTGAGAGAATTTTTAAATACAAATCTTGAATTATGGATAACAAATCATTCTCGTATATAAAAATTATTATTGAAAAATAATATGTAAAAAATAAATAAATAAATTACTAATTGACACAATAAAATAATTTAAATAATAGAATGTTCATGTGACATAATTTTGTCGAAATGCATCATAACTATATGACGGGGTAAATGGAGCAAAAACTTGAGGGCAATAAGACATGGCATTTCGTAAGATAATATCTCGTTCTTATCCAATCTGAAAGTATTTTCTAATTCCTAGATCATAAATAAACATATTTATTTATTTTTTTTATAAAAAGGAAAATTACAAATTTCCGCGATTTCTAAATTTTTAACTACGTTTTCCTTGGGGCCTTATAAGAACATAAATCCCGTAAAATATATCGCATATATTTTAAAATAATATAATATTCAAATAAAATTAGTTTGCACTTTTTTTGTTGAGATGTCATTTCCGGCTTCTGAGATTTTAAAATCAGTCCCATAGACTTTAAAGAAAGAAAGAAGTTTATCGGCCCTAGAATTAACCCAAACTCTTATTAATTGGCTTTTTAAACAAGGTATAAGAGATTGGCCGATATCCGGTATTAGCCAGATATACGTCATATCGGTCAGTTAATACCTTTTATATTTAGTGCAATACCAAATAATTTCTCAGATTTGTTTAAAAAACAATATTTTGTGAGAAAAAAAAGGTGAGATTAGGCATCATAGTCCAACATAATGGGAATCCTTCTAAACCACTTTTGAAAAAAATAAAATTGAGGGCCCGGAGTCAATTTTTTACCATTTTTGATCTTGATTTTAAAAAACCAGATTTGATCGACTTTTTTTTAAGTAAACCGATTTGATCAAATTTTTTTTTTTACGATTTATAGACTTGAAAACGCGAGTTTTTTTCCCAGCCACCCCGGTATAGGTCGTGTTTTATAAAAAAAAATTTAATCTATAATCCCACCTCGAGAAGTTCTTTAAGTTGTTCGCCTTTTATGTCGTGCATCTTGGAAGCAAATATTATGCATACGGAGCAACACATTTTGCGATTGTACTTATTGGTCCAACCCTCGGTCACCAATTGGTCGAAATAAGAAAACGCGTAGGCCAAAATTATAGGATCGAATTTGCACTTTTTTTAGTTGTAAGAAAATTAATAATCATATAGAATTTAACTATATAGTGTTGTCAACACATTATTTAGAACAATTTTTCATTTAAAAGAGCATTTAATTAAAAAAAATTATTTTACAATTATAAACTTATAATTTATTCACTATATATAAATCAATTAATTGTACAGCATAAAAGTAATCATCGTAAACCTTATCACTTTATTATGTAAAAATAAAGTTTTAAAATTGTTGTATGGGTTTGAAATGTTACTTTTTCTAGGTAAAACACTATATCTTAATAATTTTATTAGGAGGCCTTCCTTTGATCGCAAGATTTTAATCCTATTTTCGTCCTTTTTGTTATTAATTCGAATTTTTATGCAGAATGTTTATGCATTTATTTAATATATCAGATCGCTAACTTAAAACTGTTAAATGGACCAATCAGATGGACGAATTTACGATCAAATGACTTTACGATCATAGTTAGGCAAATCTACAAGCATTAAAGTCAGCTGTAATTTAATTGACTGTTGTAGAGGCCACGGTAAAGTATTAATGTTTTAACATTTCGTCTAAATGTGTTTCAAAGGCGAAAATTAAATGTATGTATACCTTTTTATTGCATTTTATGAACTAGGTCAGTATTAATACCATTGGTTCTGCTTATATTATTTTATTTTAGGATAGATAACTTTAAAAAAGAAATGTTCATTGCTATTTTAGCAGATTAAATATTATTCTTATTACTCTTTTTTTTTAAAGAAATTATAATTTACAATAAATATTGAACTTACATCGGTCAGGACGACTTTCTTCATTTCTCGCTTCAAGCTTTTTTTTTATTGAGAAAAAAGAAATGAAAATTGAAAATATGATTCAATAATAATAAACATTTTTAAGGTATTTATTTGGTACGAGATAGTGAAGAACGAAAAAGCGAAAACACTGAGAATATTACTTAGATAATCCTATAGAAAATCTCGAAAATAATAATAATAGATGCTAAGGAAGGTATTCCAATTTCCCCATATTAATAGCAATTTTTGAAATAAGTGCCGTCACGCAAATTTATTATTGATTATATTTTTTTATAAAATAATACTCATATTTGTTATTATTTATTGTTTTATATAAATAATAAAAAATGTATTATTTGTTTTTTTCGATAATAAAGGGTAAATAATAAGGGAAAAACAATATTCTCGTATCACAAAAATTGGTTCGTGAGAATATTTCACCACCAACCAACACCTATTGAGAATGAGAGGAAATAAGAAATATTCCCAGTTTTTCGCTTCTTTTTTATTTATTTTTATATTTCGCGTTTTCGACCACATACCAATAAATCATATTTTGTATCGTATCAATTTATTTATTTTTTACCTGATAAATTTAGTAAGGGTTATATTTATGGAGGGGAATTGTTTTTTGAATTCCTCGTTAATTTTCTTCTTCCATTCTTTTTCGAATTTGTTTGACGTTGAGAGAAAAGATGACGTGTTACCTGTTTGGGAATAAAAGCGCTCGTAGAGATCTTCGGAATAATTTAAAAGCTGTGAATCGGGAAAATGTTTATTTAGATCATTGAGTGGAATCAGTTCATAGTTGTTGCTCGCGATCACTTTGTAATAGTAAAAAGTAAAGATATTGTTATAAATCATTAAATAAAAAAATATTTTTAGGGGGAAGAAAAATGCTAATCTCCTCAAATCAAGTAGATTGGGAATTTCGGTAAGATGGACTCCAATTCATACTTTACTTCTAAATTTGCTTCATCTTGTCACGATTCAATACTAATGGATTATATATTACCCAATGCAGATCTAAGTCACGCAAAAAAAATAATTTAGATAACTGGACAAATTCAACTCGGGTTTTTAGCAATTCATTTTCAAAAATCCTTGGAGATGTTTTTTTTTGTTTTTTCAAATAAAAATATGTTATTCGCATTTTAATATATTTTGAATATAAGTTTTAATTAATTGTCAATTATTATTTATTTATAAATGATTTTATATGTTGTGATAATTCTAAAAAAAAAATTTTTGGTATAAAAATAACTCCATTAAAAATCATCTTAAATATCATGTTTTGAAAGATAACCCGTCATTCATGGTAAGCGTGTTCATTTTTATTAACTTCACCACGAAATCGCGTACACTGTGAATGCAGGGTAAGGGAGATGTAAAAAAATCTATATAATTAATTATGTCTTTGTTTATTAGTTGATTCGATATTCGTTTTAGTACTAAGAATATTCAGATTCAGTTTATACATAAATTCCAGTTTTTAAAAAAATATGAATTTCATGCTAGGTAAGATACGTGCCGATGCCCAGGACCAGGAGAATGGGGGATTAGAAGAATAAATGGCTTATCCGGGTAAACCTAAGACCTCTAAACGAGGAGGAAGAATTTATTAAAATGAATTTTACTATTGATAACATAAATGATACATTTTATTACACAGAAAAATGTTGAGTGTAATAAACTTTGCCTTCTGAGTTATTTTCCTCCAGGACATATCTTTTTTTTAAATTATTTTTACTTTAATTATAAAGTTTGATTTAAATGAAAAATAGTCATTTAATAAATTAAATGGATATTTTTTTAAAATTTTAATTTCAAAAAGAAAACATTTCCAACTCTTATAGAATTATTGAAATACAAATCGTGCATTCACCATTTTTTTTTGTTGAAAAATCATAAATAATAAAATAAGCATCAAATAAATTTAAACCCTATTATAAAATCTGGGACTTTGTGATGCAAGTCGTAAATGAAACTGAAGATGATAAAGAGTTATGAAGATAAGTCAAATTTTGATTTGGAATTCCTTTATTTTGCTCCTTTTAATCTGGGAGGGAACAAGAAGGGGGTAGAGTAGGAGAGACTAGGGATTAATTGTCATTGGCTTGGAATATAGAAGTCCCTGTAAGTGTGGAATGTCTAAAAAATTGGGCAGGCATGCTCAAAAAATTAGGTTAAATTGTCATTGGCCTAAGTGAGTAGATGTCCCTTTTAGTTGGCCAAAAGAATAAAAGTCGAGCAGGTTGGTTTAAAAAAAAAATTTGGGATTTGACAGTTGATTTTTTTTATCATTTAAATCAGCCTGGACTAAAAGAATATTTTTTTTAAATTAATCAACTTTATGTATATTTCATTAATATAAATAGTAGTTCAATATTATCTGAGATTAGGACAAAAGATGAATGATTTTAATTGATTTTGGGATAAGCTCAGGATTTAAATAAAAATTTGTCTAAACTCATATAAAAATAAATCAAAAAATTGATTCAAGCCAAAAACATTGAACCTGATAAATATGAAAGAACTATAAGATCTATATACTGACTCCTTTATTTCAAAAAATAAATATTTCATTTTTCCTCTTCTCAGCATTTTTTTTATATAAAATTTATATATTTTTTTTCCATATAATTTTTAACATATTCTTATTCATTTTTATTAAAATATATTTTATTTTAATATTGTATTTAATTTTTAATTTGAAATTATTTATGAAAATAAATGATTATTTAATTTTAAAAAAAATAAACATAAGAAAATTTTTTTGTTTTAATATAAATAATTTTTTACATCTATTAATATCTTTTTTTAGATATTGCATATAAATTTACAATTTTCATCCTTAGAATCTGACATCAAGGTATTATTGATAAAAAATATTTCATTTTTGAAGAATTTTTTTGGCGATAAAGCTAGGTTATAATGAGTCTCTTGTAATATATTGTGAAATGAGTTTGAGTTCAGTTTATTGTTGCAACTTGAATCAACCAAATCATTTTTATTAACATTGTTGATATAATAGGCATTGGTATTTAATTTAAGATCATCGATAGGAGCAATTTTATGTTCATTGCAAGAAACCAAAGAGAGTGTTTGCTTGTGCTTTGAATCAACTAAATTATTGCCTCCTTTATTTAAATCTAAATAACGCTCATATGATATTTCCTTTTGGATAAAATAATAAAGATTGTTATAATTAATTTAATACATTTTCATATAGCTCTCCTGCTTTGAAACGTAATAAGAACAAATTATCAGAAAATGACTCTTTACAAATTGAGATTATTTTCTTTCTATGGGTATTTTCTACATATTTCTGAATGTCAAATTTCTGCATAGAGGCCCTATAAAATTATTATTAAAATTATATTAAAAAAAATTATTACCTTTCATTAGTTTTGCTATTTGAGGATATGGCAAAATCTTGCTCTAAAACTTCTATTAAAAATTAAAGTCAATACATTATAATAACTTTTCAGGCTAGCTTTATTCCTAATAAAAAGAAATAATTAAGATAATAATTTTATTAAATTACCTAGTATTAGCAAAACTGTTTCTACTATTCTTATGGGTTGTGTGGGTTGGTATTTCCGAACTTGATATTCTTCTTAGGAAACTTAATGCTGCCATATGATGTCTTATAATATCGATTCTCCTCCACTCATCTAATTCCATTAATAAAAAATGAATGGGAAAATTGTTCAATGAAATGCTAAGCTTTGACCTAGTCAGAAATTCTTCTATATAGATCTCAACCAAATCAGGCTTGTTACTCGATCCTTTAAAAAAGATCAAATCCAGGTCATGATCTTTCAATAAAAAAGAATCGAAATTCAGGATAAACGTTTTTTTAAAGAAGGATCGTGATCACGATTCTTTTCTTTTTTAATTTCAGAAGGATATTTTGATCGATGCTAAATTAACTAATATAAATATAATAATCATAGTGTAAATTTATTGTAATTCAATAATATAATATAACAATTAGTATATATAATTAAAATTAGCCCTTAATAATAAAAATATTTCTGAGTAATTTATTAAAAACCCTCGTTTTTCATTAAGTACATGTTTAGCTATAGTAACAAGCGCTACAACAGGAGCGCTTAATGGCAAAGGTGTGTTATATTTAATAAATATTTTTTTTTATTTACATAAGTATAATTGAATCATCATATAGATTAAAAAAAATTATTAATGTAAAGCGCATTTTGTAAAGAATTTTTACCAATATCTATTTCATCCATATATTTATAGCATCCGCTTGTGATTGATCATGCACATTTTCCAAATGAACAATTAACTTTTCTTTTCCATTTTGTTATATAAATATAAGACCAATTTAGCTTAAATTTTGGGTGTATTATTGTTGCTATTACGTTACTGTCATCATACATTGAAAAAAATCTATATTAAGAAATGATAATTAATTTATTACTAAATAAGTGTTCATTTATATAAATCAGGTATAAGAAAAATCAGCCCTTTCAAATTTTCCAGTAAGATCTGGTCCCTTATTTGTATGGTTTTTATATTATAAATAATTAAATTTAATATTATATTTAGACTTAAAATAAATACGCATATTGTAATTTATTTTCAAAAAATATTAATCAAAATATTAGCATAAATTCAAAAAATTTATTAAACTTTTTATGCCTGCGCTAGCCCATTAAAATTTTACCACATATCAGAGATTTAGTAGGCCTGGCCTATTAAAAATATATTACTAAATTTGCCAAGATCATTGCAACTATTTAATAAATTTTGTAGATCTCTGATATCTATCAATATAAATATAGAATAATCGCATTAATATCTACCTTTTATCTTTACCTTTAAGGACACACTCTACAAGGCTGACAATACCATAAACAGCTAAATTTCCTTAATTATCTATTAGTATGGTAAGAACTGGGGTACTCTGGTCCATATTATCCTCACGTTTCAAGATCTTTAATGATGCTGTTAATTGTTCCATATCCTTATTATTTAAATTTTAGACATTTGAATAAAAATATCATTGTATTACTGATGCATATTCTTTGATAAACATTCCTTTTGCCTGAACAATGTAAATCCAATATTATCACAAACTTCTTCTACTTCTGAAAGCTTTTAAGAGAGCATCTTGTCAATTAATTTCATTGACTGGAAGCAGTATTCCCATTAGGTCTTGTTGGGAGTTATAAGATATTTTCCTAATCTCTCCAATAGAATATCAGCCATTTTAACAGACGTTTCTTAATTAAAGCAAAATATTTGACAAATGTTAATCTTGATATTTGTTTAAAAATGATATCATTTTCTGCCTTCTCCGCATCTGTGGTTGCAATAAGGTTCAGATTATACCAACAACTTTAATATTTTGGTAGGCTAATAGTAGGATAATTTGGGCCATCATTAAATATTAAATCAATTAAATTTATTAATTCCAAATTCTCATTATCTTTTTTATTTTCTCCAAAAACTCTAGAAAAATAAAAAATTTATTTTAAATATTTTTTCGTTAAATATAAATAAAAGGCCTTGACAAAGTTAGTGCCATTATCGGTCACCATCATTACCACCCTATTAGGAATCTTGTGGATATCCATAATTTCCTTAGCCAAAACATCATATGCTTGCTTTCCAATTATGAGCCTTAGTGTCATAGCTAATGATCTTCTCTTAAGGGTTAATGGGTCCAGCTTATGGGCATTAACTCCGATAAAAGCCCTTAAATAAAAATTAACATAAATATAATATACCTTCAATGACCACTCCAACAATCAGCAGTGGTGCATACATATAAGACTTCAGACAAATCTTTTATAAGATTTGTGGTCATATCTCTAAAGGCAATAGATATTTATTTGCCCAGTGTTTGAAGATACATAATTTTTTTAGTTGAAGAAAATGTCTTATCATTTTCTCAAATGAAGCAAACAGTGACAGTGGCTGGAAGGTTTCAATAATAAATTCCATTATAACCTTTTCAGCGGTTATTTTGTGATATTGCTGGCATGTTTAAATTATAAAAATTTTAATTTGTTTGTTTGATTTTGAAACCACGTTGGTTTTACTGAGATTTATTTATTTTAGAGAATTCATTTATGTATTTGGCAATGTCATTTTTGAATTCACTATGCATACTCTTTATAAAAAAAAATATAGTAAGTATTATTAAATATGTTGAGATTACGAACAAATAAAAAAAATTTAAAAGAAGGAATTAATTACTTCATGCCTTTTAAGGTTTGAACTACCGCCTTTGAAGAAGATATGGTCATGTCGCAGTCATGATGTAGTTATGTTTAATATAAAGTAAAATACTTAAGTAGGTTATGAAAAAATTAAAGATTTTCACTTATATCTGCAACATTAATAGTAGGTGTATTATCTTCTAAATCTATAATGGACATATTAAAACCTAGAATTAATTTATATTATATATAAATTAAATAAATAAAACTTTGCTGTAAATCTCGTAAATGTTCTCGATAAAATTTATGAAATACAAATAAGGCGGAGGTTGATAAGATATGATGTAGATAGAATTTTTTATTTTATTTATGATTTTTTTAAGCACAAGATCGAATATTAAACAAAATAATCTCGATCACGATTCTCAATTTAAAACAGGATCATAAATCCAAAATATTTAATAGGATCATAAATCCAAGAATTAAGAAACATAATAGGAATACATTCTATATTTATTTTATATTTTGTTAATAAAGAAAACAAATATTTTTATTTGATAATACCACCGATTTTCAAAGTTTTACTAAAAAGGGATCCTATACTGTCAATAAAATATTCTTTATACTAAAGGCTTCAACGAATTCTTAATTAATAGACTTAAGTCGTTATATTTCAATTTGTTTATAAGTTAAAAAATAAATTATGTTCGTTGTCGTATATAAATTGAAAACGTTTTCAAATATTATTAGCAATAAAGTCATGTGGCTTCAGTAACTAGTAAAATTGTCGGATTCCGTAATTTTTCTTTCTTTCTAGATAAAAGACTACCAATCCACTCAATCTCAGGCCTATAGCTTTTAGCAGTAGGCAAAGTCGTTTGAGGGTCCCATATTCCACGTGATCTTGCAAGAGTCATGAATAAGAAAATATTTTGAGAATATTTTATTAAACCCAAAAATTATAAAACACAAATTTATTTTATAGACTCTCATTCAATTTATAAAATATAAAACTATTGAGAATTCATAAGGAGTTAATTATGAATCTAAATTAGAGAGTTAAAAATATAAGATATCTGGTAAAATTATGCTTCCTTTTAAGAAATAATAAATGGCGCAAGTAAAAAATAAAATACAAATTGGCAAAATATTGGAGAAATTTATTATAAATTGTTTTTTTTAATGAGGTTTAATATATAAGGAAATAGAAAACTAATGGAAAAATCAATTACCATAGAGCTTGTAGAAAAAATAATCAAGCAAAATAAAGAAATAGTTAATTTTTTGAATTGAGATAACTTTAATTTAGAAAACAAAGAAATGGAGGATAAGATTAATCGTTTAGATTATGCTGAATATAGAAGAAAAAATAAAAAATAAAATAATGAAAGCCTTGAAGGTATGTATTTCAAGAGAAAGGTTAAATTATAATTGAACTTGTTGATAACATATTCAAGAATGAATAAATATTTTATATTTTTTAAAAGTTACTGGGATACTAAAGACTTAAGAAGAGAGAAAAATAATGATTGGATTTGATTTTTAATTACTGTAAGATTAGTTACAAGTGTTGTAAAATTGGTTTAAAAAGGTATGAGAATTTTAAAAAAAGTTTAGAAGAATAAGTGGAGGTTTAAAAAGGTTATAATGAAAAAAATGTGCGCCAGGGATATAAATTTCAGTTGTTTTGCAAAACGAGAGTGCGCGTCCAAAGAATCATAAGGTATAATAAAATAAATGTGCAATGCCACAAAGAGAATTTAGAATTAAGAGATTAGATATAAATTTATCATGAGAATCTTTAAATAGATAAAGGACGATTACGGGCAAATGGTTCAATGAAGATATGGGCCTAGGCTACATTGAGGATAAAGGTATTGTAAAATTTAATTTAATATAATTATATTATTTATTTTAGTATATTTAGCCTATGTATTATAAATGTAAGGTTTGATTTAAGAGGAAAATTTTTTTGAGATTACCAGAAAAGTTTTACCCTTAAATAATAAGTAGAATTGAATGAGATTATCTTTAGACAGATCAATGTTGGGAAAAAGAAACAACACAATCGATATCTAGGCTAGAAGAAAAGAAAAAACAAGTCAACAAGAGATCATTATTGTTACAAGGAATTATTAGCTAATAAGAGATGTGGTTATGGTTATTACATGAATTCGTTAGTCGTTTACTTGTCAAAGAGTTAGTAAGAAACAAGCAACAGAGGCTATGATACGTTAGGAATTTCAAGCTGGTATTAAGAAGAAACAAAAATTGGAAAGTGAATCAATCTGTAATCATTTACAAGCAGTAGTAAGTTAAGAACACAAGGGATATCCGTAGAATTTATTTTCTTTCTTTCTTAATTTTTTTTGGGCTTCTATTGCAGCCACTGCACTTTTAAATAATCAACATACACCATTATGTAAAGAAAAGGGGTAAATAATTTTTTAGTTTTTAATAAATTATATTATAACATATATTAAAGCTATACG